TGAGCCATCATCTGCTGCCTCCCAGGCATTAGGAAGTTGGACTCACGAGCAGAAACAAGTCTTGAAACCAGGATTCTAATATCCCAATCAGTGTCTTAACAACTACACCAAACATCTACTCCACTGATGCTTTTTCTGACCCTAAAGCTAAGAATGATTTTTTTACATTTGCAAGGAATTAAGAAAAAAATACATTTAGATACACATACAAAATATCAAGAAAATACATGAGGATTGAGGATGAGGGTGGAGAACAGGACAAGAAAACAAATCTATAACAGAAATACTTCAGATAAAGCTATACTGTTTAATAATCATGTTGTGCATTTTTTTAAAAATGTAGAGATAATAGGTGGGACTGGTGTTGTGGCACAGTGTGTTAAGTCACAGCTTGCAATACCAACATCCCATATCGGAGTGCTGGCTCAAGTCCTGCTCTGCTTCTGATCTAGCTCCCTGCTGATGTGCTTGGGAAAGCAGCAGATGACGGCTCAAATACTTGGGTTGCTGCAACCCATGTGCAAGACCCATATGGAGTTTTTGGCTCCTGGCTTCTGCTAGGCCCAGCCTTGGCTGTTGCAGCCACTTGTAGTCTGAACCAGCAGATGGGAGATCTCCCCCTCTCTCCCTCCCTCTCCCTCATCACTCCTGCCTTTCAAATAAATAAATGAATCCTGAGAAGAAAAATAAAGGTAACAGGTAACATCTGAAAAAAAAAAAAAAAAAAAAAAAAAACTGACCCTCAAATTTTTAGCTCCATTTAACAGAACATTCAACTGTGAGTTTTCAGATTGAGCCCCAGGAGTAAAAGTAGCCTGGCCATGGCATTAAGTCACCTTAGTTTCTCCTTCTTGTAAGATGGTGTTAATAAAACGGTCCCCTTTCTCTCATATGGACATTAACAGGATAAAAGAAATTACAGACATGAAAGTTCTTTGAACTCTCTGAAAGAAAATTACTCTATAAAATTCAAGGTATCATTACTACCAATGTGGTAAAAATAATTTGTGATCACTAAAAGGTATGGCTAGAATTTGACTAAAATATGCCTAAAATTCCTTTTTAATCCTACAATTAAAAAGGAGTTTTAATCCAACAAGAAAACTTCTATTCATAATCTCTTTGAAAAAAACAAAAATACTGCTCCAACAACATATTTTTATTTTTTTTATTTTAAAGATTTATTTTATTTATTTGAAAGTCAGAGTTACACACAGAGAGAAGGAGAGGCAAACAGAGAGGTCTTCCATCCGCTGGTTCACTCCCCAGACAGCCACAGTGGCTGGAGCTGTGCCGATTCGAAGCCAGGAGCCAGGAGCTTCCTCTGGGTCTTCCCATGTGTGTGTAGGGGCCCAAGGACTCAGGCCATCCTCTGCTGCTTTCCCAGGCCACAGTAGAGAGCTGGATTGGAAGTGGAGCAGCCGGGACTCAAACTGGCACCCACATGGGCTGCTGGCACTGCAGGTGGCGGCTTTACCCACTACACCACAGCACTGGCCCAAACATACTTTTTTAAAAATCAAAATCAAAACGGTGAGGCTGGCACTGTGGCATAGCAGGTAAAAACGCCACCTGCAGTGCCGGCATCCTATATGGACACCGGTTCAAGTCGCAGATGCTCCACTTCCAATCCAGTTCTCTGCTATGGCCTGGGAAAGCAGCAGAAGATGGCACTCCTTGGGCCCCTGCACCCTCGTGGGAGACCCAGAAGAAGCTCCTGGCTTTGGATCAGCCCAGCTCCAGCCATTGCTGCCATCTGGGGAATGAACCAATGGATGAAAGACCTCTCTCTGTCTCTCTCTCTCTGCCTCTGCCTCTCTGTAATTCTGCCTTTCAAGTAAATAAATAAATCTTTAAAAAAAAAAAAAAAAAAAACCTCAGGGGCAGACATTTAGCCTAGTGGTTAAGAAAGACACCCACTCCCAAATCAAATATATGGTTCAACACCTGGTTCCAACTCCTGACTCCAGCTTCCTGCTAATGCTGACCCTAGGAGGCAGTGGTCATGGCTCAAGTATCGGGTTCCTGCCAAGTGGGAGACTTGGTCTGAATTCTCCACTGCCAGTTACAGCCTGGCCCAACCCTGGCTATCGCAGGTATTTAGGATAGCAGATGGGAGTTCTCTCACTCTTTCCCACCCCCCAAAAAATAAATTATATTTTCTTAAAAATCTAACAATGGTGGAAAGAAGCAAATCTAAGACTACATAACTTATTCTAGATTTCAGTTTGGATGTACAAAAAAATCCTCCAAATAGGATAAGACATCTTCCCTAAACCCTTACATAAGAACAAAACATATTTTCCACAGAACTGACAGCCCCTAAGCTTTTTTTTTTTTTTTAACATCCTTATCCTCATCTGATTTAGTCTATTTACAAATGCTGCACTCATTGGCAGCTATGTGAATACATACCCAAATTTCCTCCAGGGAACATATCAACCTACTGGTCCATTAAACTGTCATTATATCAACAGTCTAACGGACAACTCTTCTTTGGCCAAGGGTAAGTAGGGCTGGTAAAATAGACACTTCTCTTCACTATTCATCTCCAAGGAATTTCAACAGAAAAAAACAACCAAACCTAAAACTCAAGTGCTTTATTTATATAAAGCTAAAATAAGGTTGACATAAAGCCTCATAATACTCCAGCTGATGTGTCAGGAAGATAAGGCTGGTATCCACAAATGCAGCAATTCATCTATAAATGCCTTCTCACTTTTTCACCTACCCAGGAGAATAAAGGGAAGTCTTAATGGTAAAATTATGAAATTCATCCCATGCCAGTAATACACCGATGTTCCCCACCCCCGAAGCCTGGTTAAACAAGACTCTCTTTCCCACAAACACCCTTGTTTTGTTCCTATTCTAGAGTCTCTTCATGACTCTGAGGACTGCTGGCAGTCTAAAACAGTTATTCACGGTCAGAGATTTCCTTCTCTACCAATCAGATGGTGTCTCCTACTTATTACATGTTTCATCAGTGGCTGAAATGCAACAGATGTGTTTTATTTGTTTTGCTTAATGTTTCAGTGGAAAGAAACAAGTACAAACCTTAACTGTGCCCAGCATATTGAGAGCACTTTATGGATATGCATCAACAGAAATTCTAAAATCTTAATGCAGATCTAGAAGAATCATATGTCCCAGTTAAAAAAAGCAGAGTGAGTGCATATGGAGTCAAGTTAAAGATCACGCCGTAAAGATGTGAATGTTGGCATGAATCACTAAACCCGAGCACTTATTGAGACTGCTTTGAACTACTTGCTCCCCTCAATTAGTAGCCAGGTGGCCTTGGGTAAATCACTCTTCAGGCCCATGCCAAAACGTTCTCAGCCATAAAATGAGCACTGTAACAGTACTTACCCTACAGTTGTGAAAATTAAGAATGGATATATGTAAAGCACTTAGAATTGAGTCTGGCACACAGTAAGGTCTCATTAACTAACAGAATTTATGTTTCTGTAAATTCCTGGCATGGCTAATTGAAAAACTAGGCAGCAAGTTGGATTACATACCAACCCTACCAGGACCTACCACATTATTTTGGATGTTAATCTACATAAACCCCAGTTTTCTTATATCCTAATTAAAGAGATGGAGTGGGGGAGAAAAATCTCTGTATTTTCAGTACCCTCTAACCAATATGACTGGATTACACGACATCACCTACTTCAGCCAAAATGTTAAGATCAGAATCAGTTATCAGACAGGCCATCTCAATAATCTGGTCCTTCTCAATGTCCAGTCCTGTCATCTGCAACAAAAAACAAATATATAACACACACAAAACCACCTTTCTGGCCTATCCGACCCAAGTTTATTTACCAGGCATTCTCTCGAGCTTATTCAGCTGATATCCCACGGGCAGAAGAAAAGCTAACACTCCTAAAGCAGGGAAGTCGTCAAGGTGCGAAACGTGACTTCTCATTCATTAAACACACACTCACCAAAGCTCTGCCATTTGTCAAGCCCTGAGACTCCACTCTGGGACAGCTGCAAAGTCAGTAGAATGGACAGCTGACAGCCAGCACTCGTTACTAAGAGTTAGCTCACTACCATCACTACCGTTTTCCTACTGACGACACCCCCTGGATGTGCACAATTTAATAGAATTACCCTCATTTCAGAAAGGGCGACTCTGAGGCTTCTGGAAGAGGGGAGCCCTCCACAAAGGAAGGGAAAACCAGAACGGAGGAGAAGGGTTCTGGTCCCAACTCAGACCCTCACAGGCAGCATGACCTTGGCAGAGTTGAGTCCTCGTTTATGGAACGAGGGAAGTAAGGCTGAGTCATCTCCGGAGTCCCGTCTAGCTCCAGCAACCTGGGGTCCTTTAAGGCTTTGGGAGGGGCGGCGCGGGGTGGGGGGCAGAGTCGCGGTCCCCAGCTAAAGCCCCCCGCGACCCCAAGCCCGGAGGCCCCAGGGCATTAGGGAGGTCCACGTCTGGGCGGAGGGGGTGGGGGCGGAGAGCCATATGGAGACTCCTCCCCGGCGAGAAGCCCCTTAGTCCGGCAGCGTCCCCGACCCGGCTGCTGCTCACAACCCGGCCTCGCTCACCTGCTACACCTGGGATCCAGTGCCCGCCGCTCTCCTGGGGCTGGCACGGCCGGTCGGTCCCACGCGCGAACCCTCTCTCGCCTCCCCTCACCCCCGCCGACCGCACTCACCTCCAGGTCCACCCAGACCATCCGCTGAGCCATGCTCTCCCCTGCCGCCATGGCCGCGCCACCTTCGCGGACACCCCGCGCCCCGAACTGCCCGCCACTCCCTCCCACACCTCGCAACAGCCTGGAGCCCAGGGAGCCGCCTAGCATCACCCGGCACAAGCCGCCACGGCCCCAGCCCCGCAGCCGGCGCTGGCGCAGGCGCGATGGTCGCTAAACGTCGCAAACCCGCGGGGAGGCGCAGGCCCCGAGACCACAGCTCCCAGCATCCCGTGCGCCGGCTCGCCCAGGGCCGCGCGCGGCTCGGGTGCCCAATGGGATGCTGGGACGTGCAGTCTCGCCGGCCCCGGCGCTCGGATTCCCCGCCCCCGCCACGTGTGTTTCGGCTGTTACTGGACGCGCATGTTTTTCCAGACTAAGTTTGTTTGCTTCCAGGAGTTACTTCCTGAGTTTTGGTTAGTTGTAAACTGCGTAGTTGGAAAAAGAACTCTTTGACGGTGATGGGTCACGACAGGCTCAAGTATCTGTTTATGATTTTTTTTTCCAGCTATGGCTTTCTTTTGGGGGCATTTTTCCTATTTATTACATAGCTGCCCCTTGGGCGCACTGCGAATGTTTTGCATTTACTTGGCTTTTTTTTTTTTTTTTTTTAAGCCGGGTCTCATCTGACAGCTGCCTTAGTGTGTATTAGGCGGTCCTTGGAAGTTTACTTTCCTTCCTTATGGGTGGACCTGGTCTGCGTTTTGGTTCATCTGTAAGATGTCAGTGGCAATGAGGACTTCCTTCTCCACCCTCGGAAGTTCTCAGAGGTAAACCTTGTCCCTGTATCACAAATCCATGCCGCAAACTAAATTAAAATGGAAGAACCCAGCCCTGCCTGCTCTGTCACCGGCTCTAGTTTCTAATCAAAGTTGTCTTCAATCCGCTCCAAATGACTGCGCTTCTTTCCATCATTTTAGGAACACAGGGCGGTTCTGCTCTGCCTGGTCCCTGACGTCTTGGATCTTCGGTTGCAAATCTGTGTGCCTGGTACAGCATTTGTCACAAATGTTGGTGTCGGGGCCGGCGCTGTGGCTCAGTGGGTTAACGCCCTGTCCTGAAGCGCCGGCATCCCATATGGGCGCCGTTTCTAGTCCCAGCTGCTCCACTTGCGATCCAGCTCTCTGCTATGGCCTGGGAGAGCAGTGGAAGATGGCTGGGTCCCACGTGGGAGACCCAGAAGAAGCTCCTGGCCTCGGATCGGCACAGCTCTGGCCGTTGTGGCCACCTGGGGAGTGAACCATCAGATGGAAGATCTCTCTCTCTCTCTCTCTCTCTCTCTCTCTCTCTCTCTCTGTGTGTGTGTGTGTGTGTGTGTGTAACTCTTTCAAATAAATAAATAAAATCTAAAAAAAAAAAAAAAAACGTTGGTGTCAGCCTTGAACTATATCCTCTATACATTTTTTTCTGACAGCCTTATTGCCACTAATTACAGAGTGTGTGGTCCATTGCATAGTAATTGGTACCTGGTGAGCTGGTTTTGTGAGAAACTGTTGCCTAATGAGGGCTTTAAGGAGAGTGCACTGCACTGGCTTTCCCCTTCAGTTCTTTGGTGTACCCAACCCAACATCTGCCAGGGCCCCAAGGGACTCTTTGAAGGACCATCAGAACATGCCACAGATTACACTTACAAAGACTTTTATCTTTGACAGTGTATATTTATTGTAACTGCGTTTCCTGATGAATCACATTGTTTTGCTGTAGTTTTTTATTTGTTGAGAAGTGATCTGCACTATTTTTTTATTTCATAGTTTTAAACATGATTCATAGAAAATAGAATTGGCTGAAGTATAGCAACTTTTTTATAAGATTACTTATTTGAAAGTCAAAGTTACAGAGAGAAGGAGAGGCAGAGAGAGAAAGAGTTATCTTTCATCCGCTGATTCACTCCTCAATTGGCCACAATGGCCAGAGCTGTGCCAATCCGAAGCTAGGAGTCAGGAGCTTCTTCTGAGTCTCCCATGTGGGTGCAGGGGCACAAGGGCTTGGGCCATCTTCTACTGCTACCCAAGGCCATAGCAGAGAGCTGCATCAGAAGAGGAGCAGCCAGGACTCGAACTGGCACTCATATGGGATGCTGGCACTGCAGACAGCGGCTTTACCCACTACACCACAGCACTGGCCACAAAGTATAGCAACTTTTATCAACTGGTATTTTTGTATCCTAAGGTGTATTTTCTTTTTTCCCACATCTATTTATTTGAAAAGCAGAGAAAGAGAGAAGGGTCTTCTTCCCCAGATGGCTGCAACAGCCCTGGCTGGGCCAGGCTGAGCCCAGGAACTCCATGCCAGTCTCCCACATAGGTGGCAGGAATTCAAGTACTTAAGCCAGCATTTGCTGCTGCTTCTCAGGCACATTAGCAGGGAGCTGGATGGAAAGCAGAGAAGCCAGCACTTGAACCTGGGACTCCAATATGGGATGCGCATTCCCAAGTGGCAGCTAAACCTGCTGTGCCACGATTCTCCATAAAGTTTTTTGTTTAATTTTCAAAGAATATCTTTTGTTTTCAGCGTTACTACAACATCGATCAGTTTTATTACAAATTACAACTTCAATGGAAGTATTTACATGTAAGAACTTAGGTCTTGAACATTCATAATCATAATTATTAAATATAATTATATGTGGACATTGTGGAAAATTCCAATATAATATACTTTTTATAATGATAAACTCAAATGTTAGTCAAATGGTATTAAAAGGAGATTTCTGGGTTATTTTTATCATTAGATTGGTAATCTTAAAGATCCATGTCCCAAAGTAAAGTAATATATGCATCAAATTCACAAATCCAAACCAGGCATACAAGAGAGAGGAGAGACACAAGAGCACGGGAGCATAGGGCTCCAAGTCTGAAAGCATCCTGGTCGAACGCTGGACCCAAGTCATTACTTTCCCTTTTCCTTTCTTAATAAGATTCAGCTTAAAGCCACATTATTCAGAGACTGCTTTTTCAATTCTGTTGTGAACCTGGAAACACATGTTAATTAACTTCAAGGACATGCTGCCAAGTTGTCCTGTTCTCTAAAATCACAGACTCTAAGAAACTTTGCTGTCTGAAGGCATTTCAATAAGAATGGAACACTTCCTCTGCTTTAAAGAATCTGAGCCCTGTGAGTCATTTTAATACAGAGACGCAGCCTTAATTTCCAATCCAGGTGCAGAGATTCAGATAAAGAGTTTCAAATACAACATTCCACACCTATCAACTTTGTAGTTTCCAAGGAAACAGGACCAGGAGTTTGCTTCTCAGCACTGTGGTAATCAGACTGTGATGTTGCTGACAGGATCTACGACAATGTTTCGAATAGACATTGACCAAAACCACACAAATCCTCTCTTTTTGAGAGATCCCTACTTTGTTTTTACATATTTTCATTTTTCAATTGTGAAAATTGAATAACAGAAAATTTGCCATTTCAACCATTTTTAATGTATTGTACAGCGGCATTAAGTACATTCATGTTGCTGTGTAAGCATCACCATCATTCATCCACAGAGCTTTTCCAGCTTTCCACACTTGAACCCCGTACCCATTAAACACTAACTCCCCATCTCTCCCCATCCAGTCCACCTAGCGCTGTGCTTTCTGTCTCTATGGATTCGTCTACACTGGGTATTTCATCTAGGTAGATTCACGCAGTATTTGTCCCTTAGTGTCCGGCTGGTTTCTCTTCTCATAATATCCTCAAGTTTGATCATACTGTAGCTTAGGTCTGAATTTCCTTCCTTTTTTTTTTATAATTTGCCTCTCCACACTTGAAAGTACATTACAAAGCTGTGCAGGAGCCCAAGGACTTGGGCCATAGCAGAGAGCTGGATTGCAAATGTAGCAGCCGAGTCTGGAACTGGCACCCATATGGGATGCCAACACTTCAGGCCAGGGCATTAACCCGCTGTGCCACAGTGCCACCCCCCCTTCCTTTTTAAGACTGAATAATATTCCATTGTATGTATATATCACTTTTTTAGCTGTTGTGACTGTCACATGGTTTTTATTTTTTTATTGCTGCTTTCTTTACAGTGCTTTCCCAGAACTGTTTTGTTCCTCCCACCCTGTGTGTACAGATGATCCTGACAACCAACCCTAAGGTGTTTCCCATTCGCCTGGTTCCTCATTGGAATCATTCCACACCCTCCTTTAAAGATTCTTTTCTATTTCCTCTTTGGCAAGGCCTCCGGCTCCTCCTAGTGATTGTCCCAGCATGTTCACAAACCTCACATTGTCACAGTTATGTTTCTTTTCTTTTTTTTTTTTTTTTTTTTTTTTTTGGTCAGAGTGGACAGTGAGAGAGAGAGACAGAGAGAAAGGTCTTCCTTTGCCGTTGGTTCACCCTCCAATGGCCGCCGCGGTCGGCGCACCGCGCTGATCCGATGGCAGGAGCCAGGAGCCAGGTGCTTTTCCTGGTCTCCCATGGGGTGCAGGGCCCAAGCACCTGGGCCATCCTCCACTGCACTCCCTGGCCACAGCAGAGAGCTGGCCTGGAAGAGGGGCAACCGGGACAGAATCCGGCGCCCCGACCGGGACTAGAACCCGGTGTGCCGGCGCCGCAAGGCGGAGGATTAGCCTAGTGAGCCGTGGCGCCGGCCACAGTTATGTTTCTTGAGAGCTTTATCTGACATCATTCTATTAAACTGTACTTTAATGTATAGAATGCATTTGTTTCATACTTTTATAAGATTAACATAGAGCCACACAGTAGTCATCCCCAAAGTAATGAGACTACATCATGTGTTCAGCCAGTCCTGTGTTTTTAAATAGGCTGAAGGTACCCCATGGGTACTTAAAATGGGGGATAATATCTACCGGAACTTCATCTTGAGAAATGTTGATATCAGGATTTACTGCTGATAACTGATAACATTTTACTTCCCTCTAATGGTCTGCAGAAGGAGTCAAAATCTGCTCTCACAGGAAAAAGGCAGGGTAAAAATAGTGACCAAACTTTTAATCTTTGAAATGCTCCCTGTGTGAAGTACACACTCTAAAGGTTTTTATGAAATTTGAATTTTATGAAATTTGCACTTTGTCACAATTCACATCAACAAACACTGAGCACTTACTGCAAATCAGTGTAGTAGAATGTTAAACATGTGTTAACCTGATATTATACCAAACACTATTTAGTATTTGAGATATTAACCTAAGAATAAATAATATCTAAATAAATATAATAAATATAAATATAATATCTAAATACTAAATAATATTTGGGCCTGGAATTTTGTGTGTGTGTGTGCATGTGATTTTTAAGTTTATTTCTTTTTATTTATTTGAAAGGCAGAGCTATAATATACAGAGAACTTCTAACTCCTGGTTCACTCCCCAAATGGCCAGGCCAAAGCCAGGAGCCAGGAACTCCATCTGGTCTACCATATAGGCGCTAGATAACCAAGTGCTTATGTCAGCATCTGCTACCTCCTAGAGTGTACACTAGCAGGAAGCTGATTGGAAGCAGAGGTAGGACTAGAACCCAGGCACCCAATGTGGGATGCAAGCATCCAAGTGGCAGCTTAACACTGGGCACAAGGCCTGCCTGTCTTGTATATAATTTTTTCAATGTTTTTTTTTTAAAGTTTTCATTGTAGTAATTTACATATTTATGAAGTACAATGTGGCATTTCAATAGTTGTATACGATGTATAATGATCAGAATAGAGTAACTGGCATGTCTGTCACCTCATTGATTCATCATTTCTTGGTATTAGGAACATTCAAAATCTTCTCTGCTAACTATTTTGAAATAATTAATTAGTTGTTGTCAACCGCAGTTTTCCTACTATGATAGTTTTCTAGTAGTGCTATTAGCACACTGGAAGTTATCCCTCCTATCCAACTGGCACCTTGTGCCCATCAACCGTCCTCTCCATCCCCCATTCTCACACACTCTGCCCAGACTCTGTAAAGCACTAATCCATCCTCTACTTTTATAAGATCAATATTTTGGCTCCCATGTTTAAGTGAGAACATGGGGTAATTATCTCCCTGTGCCTGACTTAAGTCACTTAACACATTCCAGTTCCATCTATGTTGCTATACATATCAAGATTCCACTTAAATGTATGACTGAATATGATTCCACTGTACAAATATACTGCATTTTCTTTATCCATTCACCCCATAGATGAACACCTTGGTTGATTCCATTTGTTGGCTATTGTGAATGGTGCTGCAGTAAACATATGAGTGCATATTGTTTCTTCTTCATATTGGTTCCCTTCCCTTTTGATGTATATGCCCCATAGTGGAATTGCTGGATCATATGGCAGTTCCATCATCTCTAGTTTTTTGAGGAACCCCTAGACTGTTTTCTATAATAGCTTCATCATTTTGGAGTTCTTTTACAATTAAAGAAACAGATTTAA